GTAAATATTAAGGCAAGCACAAAAGGATGCAAAGCTATAGAAATAATCTAAATTAGTGATATAATTTTGTACATTAGAATTATTACAAAATAAAAGGGGAAGTTGGCTCCCTTGCAACTTGTCTTATTCCACTAGCAGTTTTACTCCTCTCTGGGGCCTGGTTTTCAATCATTTGGTGGAAGGCTTGCCTATGAACCACTAATTCTTTGTATACATATATATACACGAAGCTTATTTATGTGGTATATAACTGAAATCATAGTGGGCTATGGTGTTCAAGATGATGTACAACTTTTTCAATCCTTAACCCGACCTGCTGCTTTCCTGGAACTTATGAAATTAAAGGTTGCAGAGAAGCAAGAAATTTTCAAAACTTTGCTCTATGTAATCCAAGTATATTTGTACAGAAATTAATAGTTTTTGGCTCCATTACTTGCCTGTAAATACCTTGCTAATTTCAGCTGCAAGTAGCCTCCACAGAGAGTTTCTTAGAGGTATTTGGACATGGATCTCCTCCAAAGACTTCAGGCACTATATTTACTGAACAAGATTGTCGTCCAATGCAGTTCTGTGATATCCCATTTGAAAATTCGGAGGAAGTACAAAATAAACAGGTCAATGACATTATACAGATTAGCCAATGATTAATAAGTGAGATTAATGCAAGGCTAAACTAATGCTTTTAGACAAGACTAAAATAAAGCATTTTGAGTGATGCAAGAAAATAGTAGCCATCAGTATACAGAAAAAGTTGACAGACCTTGGATAATTGTTTAGTTCGCCTCTTTAAGATAAGCCTATTTTATGCCTAGCTTCAGCGCCTAAGCATGTTTTACGCGAGCTTGACAACACTTTAGGCTGCAGATTTAGGAGTAAAATAAGCTTTCCAACAAGAATATCACTACTCAGAAAAATTCAACAATACTGTGAACTATGCAGCTAATATGTTATAAGAATCAAGGTGCACAACCTGATTTGACCGGGTAACTGGTAGTATAGGGCACAACTATACCTCCATATGATGTTATCAGCCTATAACACGGTCTCACTGTCTAATTTAGTCTCAAACAAGGAACTAACCAGGTAACATACTGGACCTTGGCTTCCTATCTTCAGCTATATGACTTGTATGTTGCAACCTGGCCAACAATGTGTTCAACATAACTACTCCATAAGAGGATTTATTGACAACTCTTCAGCATAATGAAAAAGATACTTATGAAGTCAAAAAGTTTGATCATAGGTGGAAAACAATGCCAGAAAGTAATTTCATTTAAAGCTGAGGTTTGACAGGTGATGCCTCATCTGATGCAAAGGTAACATTCATGCGAGAAGGTGAACACATCCAGAGAAACTTATCTGGTTTCCAGTGAATCTTAAGTATGGAGTTTGAATCATTAATTATGAGATGAGAACAAAGTAAAAGCATTAATGTGGTTCAAGGAAAAGAAATCAGTGCATCTAATACATAATGACAATATAATAAAAATAAAGCTCCCAAAAACTAAAGATAAAGTAAGATAACTAAGCTTAAGAGCATGTAATAAAATTTAATCGTTGTATGCTTGGCTGCAATTTGAAGTTGAAAAACCATCCAAAACAAAGTTAGCTATAGCATACAAGCATACCTCAAGGTATCAGTAAATGAGTGTACAGCTTTGGATGCATTATAAGCACCTGACCATGGTCCCAGATCCAAAGCAATGTAACTTCCAACATTTACAATTTTCCCTTTCTTCTTGGATGCCATGTGAGGAACAACAGATTGAATTAACCTTATCATTTCTAAATATGTCTTCAAACCAATTATGAATTGCAGCTGAGTAGAAACTAGTGATGTTGTCAGACATATTTGTCAGACAATCAGCTAGCTAGAATCTTCAAACGATCCCCAAAGACATTAATCCCACCTCATACATATACCCTGAGTAACAAACCAACAACATTCAAGTACACCTGCATGTTTCCAAGAACACTGTTAACTCTCATCAAGTATTATTGAAAGAAGTGGTTTGACTACAAACCACTAACTTACTTCGGCTGGAGAGGCATCGCTTTTTTCCAACTTTTTTCAGATGTTCTGGTCATACACGTCTCTTACTTTTTCCATCGGAGAATGACCTTCAAAATAACAAAGCACGACATGCCATCAATTGTGTGTATACCTGCAAATACCCTAGTGGTTAGCTTTTAAAAATTACAAAATTCAAAGCTAAACTAGTATCGGATTCTGCGGATACATAAAAGATGACAAAGAACTCCAGGTTCTTGATCACTTCTCCATAAATTGTACAGCTTCTTTAAAACAACACTTGTAGTGATACACATGACAAAGCTACATGCAGATTGTCATGAGATAATCAAAAAATATTATACAAGAATAGCACTGGATGAATAAATGAATTTCCTCCAGCTGCCAACATATTTGCATGTATTTTGATGACTTCTTTAGCCATTCCAACTAATATTAGCATTTTTTACTAGGAGATATCAGCTAGAAAGGAAAGAGTAACTCACAGCATGATGTGTCCAGGCATCTTCACTATCAATCTCAAAGCCTTTGTTTGCGGCTTCTTCTGCATCTGGTTTCCAGTGAATCTTAAGTATGGAGTTTGAGTCATTAATTATGAGATGAGAACAAAGTAAAAAATATTAATGTGGTTCAAGGAAACGAAATCAGTACATCTAATACATAATGATAATCTAATAAAAATAAAGCTCCCAAAAACTAAAGATAAAGTAAGATAATTAAGCTTAAGAGCCTGTAATAAAATTTAATCGGTGTATGCTTGGCTGCAATTTGAAGTTGAAAAACCATCCAAAATAAAGTTAGCTATAACATACAAGCATACCTCAAAGTATCAGTAAATGAGTGTACAACAGCTTTGGATGCACTATAAGCACCTGACCATGGTTCCAGGTCCAAAGCATGCAACTTCCAACATTTACTATTTTCCCTTTCTTCTTGGATTCCATGTGAGGAACAATAGATTGAATTAACCTTATCATTTCTAAATATGCCTTCAAACCAATTATGAATACCATTCTAAATATACTTATATATCAAATAAATAAAATAAACACTAGTTATGCAATACTATTACCTTCAGGTAAAGCAACATATTAAATAAATTTTCTATTCAAACATGTATGTATCAGCTGCTACGTTAGTAGCAACATTTGTCTCTACTACATCATCAATTATATGGTCCGTAGCTAGTTGTACATACTCATCACCATCACCAAAAAAACTGTTCAAGTTCTTGCTCTTGGTATGGTTCATTCTCATATACTTCATCTTCCACTACTTCTTTTCCCATATCATATAGATCTCTTGGCTTTAGATGCATAGCAAAACTCCATCCTTTATTGACAACATCATTCACATAGTACACCATTTGTGCTTGAGATGCTTCCATGTAAGGCTCATATTCTTCACGTTCACCAGTATGAATTAATCTACCAAAATTAACACAATTTAAGTTCCAACGATCCTTTTTATACCCTCTATCTCGAGCAGTGTCAGCCCATCTACATTTGAAAAGAACAACCTTGAATCGACCATAATAATTAATCTCAAGAATATCTTCTAACTTCCCATAATATGGTAACTCTACTTGCCTTAAATTTCCGTCAATACTACTTGCAACACATGATGTTTTAGAAGTTAAGAAAACTCCACTATTCTGTGTTCTTAGACCTTCTTCTCGAGCCAAAGTTCGAAATTTGGACCCATTAATATTATATGCAGTAAAACGTCTTGCAACTACCAATGGACCTCGTGCAAGAAACTTTAGATCAATAGACATTGTATCTATTGTGTCTGGATTCATAATCTAAATCAAAACGAGATTGTATTAGTGAAGTTTGCTCGTTCAAACCAAATGTAAACAATAACTAATGATTACTTACTCACCCGCTTTTGGAACCAATAAACAAACTCTTTATTAACTCTCCTCTCTATCTCTGTAGGTGAAGGTCTTCTTCTTGAACTCCTCCTTATGTACTGTCTAAACTCACTATATGAAATAATTATATTAATGTTAAAGAACAAGACTAGCCTACTCAAACATTACAATGATAAAGAATATAAAGTTTGTATGAGTTACTCACTCCACAAATGGCGTGACTACTACACAATTCAGAAGCACATACCGATGAGCTTGTAGTTTCTGCATATCATTTAAAGGGAATGTAATCGAAGTTGAAGCAGGTTTACCTAATTGAGGAAATATAGAGGACGTTCCAGAAGGCTCAGTGACATTTGGGTCATCACGAACACGCCTAGGTTTATTGAATCTTGTCTCAATATCCTCAATATACCGAGAACAAAAGGTAAGAGACTCTTCAGCTAAGTAACCTTCAGCTATAGAATCCTCTGGTTGTGCTTTATTCCGTACAAAGGACTTAAAATGTCCCAACTCCCTACAAAAATAATAGGCCATAAGTGTACAAACTAATTCAAGTGACCAGAATGCAAGTATCTTCAAATTATAAATGTTAATGTTTTACCTCTCGACGGGATACATGTTTCGATGATGCACTGGACCTCCGAGTTTTACTTCCTCTTCTAAATGGACAGACAAATGAACCGTTACTGTAAAGAATGTTGGAGGAAATAGTATCTCTAGGTGGCAAAGTGTGTTTTCACCTTGGAGCTTATCAAGCTCTGAAACATTCAAAGTTTTGCTAGAAAGGGCTCTGAAAAATGAGCAGAAGTCCAACAAAACTGCAACTACATGGTCGGGCAACACATTGCGGATCGCCAATGGTAGCAATTGCTCTAAAATAATATGGCAATCATGACTTTTCAACCCAAAAATCTTTTTCTGTACCAAATCAACACAGCTAGAAATGTTACTTGAGTAGTCATCTAGTACTTTAATATTCTTCAAAGTTGTAAGGAACAACATTTTAGTATCCAACTTCTTTTTTTTATCAGTCATAAGTGAAAACATAGTAAGGTGATATTTTCCACTATCATCCGGCCAAAGATCACGCCTTATGCCCATTTCTTTTAGATCCTTTCGGGCATTAATATTATCTTTTAATTTCGATTTATCATGGAGCAGTGTATATATGATATTGTCACATATATTTTTTTCGATATGCATAAAGTCTAGATTATGACGCAACAAATTAGATTTCCAATAAGGAAGTTCAAAGAATATACTTCTCTTGTTCCATTGCTTAGTTGCTCGTCTAGATCTTTTCCCTCTACAATTCAACTCTGCTCCTCTCCCTTCTTCGATTTGTCTCAAAATGGCAGACCCTGACAATTTTAATGGTGGATTTCGCTCCTCTGTACTTCCATTAAAGCGTACTCGATTCAACCTAAACCTGTGATTTCTTCTCAGAAAACGTCGATGGCCCATAAAGCACCACTTTTTACTATGACGAAGACGACAAGGTTCTGTGTCAAAGTTACAAGTTGGGCAGGCAAAACCAGTATGTGTGTTCCAGCCAGATAAGATATCTAATCCAGGAAAGTCACTGATTGTCCACATAAGAGCTGCATGCATTCTAAAATTTTCATTCAACGATGAGTCAAACGTTTCTACACTATCATTCTATAACTCGTGTAATTCCTTCACAAGGGGTTGTAAGTACACATCTATATTATTTCCAGGCATGTGCTTCCCTGGAATGATCATTGATAAGATGAAGGAGGTGTGCTTAATACACATCCAAGGAGGTAGATTGTATGGAATCAAGAAGACTGGCCAAATACTATATGTAGTAGTCATTGTTCCAAAAAGACTGAAACCATCACTAGCAAGGCCTAAGCGAACGTTTCGAGGATCCGAAGCAAATCCAGAATGAGTCCGATCAAATGTCTTCCATGCCTCACCATCCCTTGGATGCCTCATCAACCCATCAGTATTATTGCCTGAAGCATGCCATCTCATATGTTCAGCAGTCTTACAACACATAAATAATCGTTGCAATCTTGGTTTCAATGGAAAATAACGCAAAACCTTTGCAGCTTGCTTTTTTTTCTTGTTAGGATTCCATTTAGATGTATCACAATGCTTACATGCTTCCAATTCTGAATCACCTTCCCAGTATAGCATACAATTATTTGGACATGCAGGTATCTTGGTATAGTCAAGGCCAAGTTTGCTAATGGTTTTTTTGGCCTCATAAAAGGAAGGAGGTAACTTTGCATCTTCAAATGCATCTCTCAACAAATCTAGTATCATAGTCATTGCTTTATCACTTAATCCACAATAGACCTTTATATGATACAATTTTATTAAAAACTCTAGCTTTGTGAACTTGCTGCCTTCATACAGTGTTTCACTTCCATCTTTGAGAAAATCATGAAAGTCACCAGAATCCTCCCTATGCGCCTCATTTGATATTTCATTTGAGTCCAATGGTTAGAGATATCCCTACATCAGCCGTTTGGTGCCTATAGTGCCCAAATGCATCATTAATCATTGTTTCTATTGGATTTTCTGGGTGAACCATCTCTTGCATAACATCTTTATCTCCAGAAGGCTCTACTACCTGTTTCTCACCGTGAAGATTCCAAATAACATAATTTTGAGGGAATGGCTTGCAAATCAAATGATCCTGCACTATCTCTCTAGTTTTCCACTAGACAAAGCCACATTTAGGACATGGGCATCTAATTGTATCTTCCACAGCCGCATTCTTAAACGCAAAATCAAGAAATTTATCCAAACCAAGCCAGTATTCGTTTGTGTTCCGTGGCTTTCCAATCCACAATTTATCCATTGAAAAATGATAAATAAATTAACATGAACCCTTTTAGAATATACCTCCAAAAGCAATCCTCCAGTCCACGGGTACCTTCAGATTTGACTATCCTTCCAATCTACTCCAAGAATTTTAAATGCTCTTTCAAACAAAGTTAATTTCAGAAACTGACAGAGGACAGAAAGAACCAATGAAGAATTCCCACAAAGGACTCCTTGTTCATATAGCGAAGGATAACAAGCAGTAGAAAAAAGAGGGTCAGAATTACAAATGAAGAAAACCTAAGAATTTCGATATTTCCCGCGGTTGCCGCTTTCCTTGCTTAAAATAAACTNTTAAAATAAACCCTCATCGCTTCCAACTATTTAAAAGCTTTAACAAAATTTATGACAATTAGTATTATACGGATATAGGGAATTTTCTACTCTCATGATAAAGAGCTTTAAAGAAGCTAGAAAGTTTTTAAAATTTTTGAAAACCAAAAAGTGCAAGGATTTTTCTTTCATGTAAACTTTTAGAAATGGAAAAATAACGTTTAGGGTTAAGAAAGAATAACTTTGGGGTAATAAATAGCTTTTCCTCTATTCATTTATTTTAATTCTTGTTACTAATTTTAGGAGTCTATATAAATAATAATAAAATTAAAATTAAATAATAATATTAATAATAGATTTAATTTATNTGTGTGTTGCTTGTAAGTTATTTAATGCAAGAGATATTTGTTGTTTTCCACAAAAGATGCATAACTCTAGGTTTGCAGCAACTATCCCTTCAAGAGATCCAATGAACCTCAGTATACAACCCAAAGATGACATTCTGGTAAAGAGCAAGTGACAAGCAACTATGATGTTGAAGCAAGTTCAGCTTCAAGTGTCAATTTAACACCATCCCCAAATGCAGTTGTTGACATATTGAGTGTCTGAATCAATCTGGTGATATCCATGGATATATCTGCTGGAGATTTAACACCGTGGTTAACCTAGAAAGTTCAGATAACACACGCATTGTCGCTGCTGCGCTCACAACATCGCAGAAGCCATTGCATCAGCTGCCCAAAATTTCCAGCATCTCCAAATGTCAAAAATCAAATCCGTTAGCCTTCCAAAATTCACCCGAGACCCTCAGGACTTTAACCAAATATACCAACATGTTCCAAAATACCATACGAACTTAGTCGAGGCCTTAAACCACGTTAAACAACACTAAAATTTTGAATCGCGCCATGAATCGAATTATGAGTTTTCAAATCTTCCAACTTCTATATTTTGCGTCAAAACATATCGAATCAAACCGGAAGGACTTCAAATTTTGCACGCAAATCATAAATGACGTAATGGAGCTGTTCCAATTTTCGGAATTGAAATCCGACCTCCTTATCAAAATTTCAACCTTCGGTCGAATTTTTTCCAAAATCTCCTATTTTCCAACTTTCGCCAAAATACGTCGAATTGTCCTACGGACTTCCAAATCCAAATACGAACATACGTCTAAGTTTGAAATCACTATACAAAGCTATTGACATCATCAAATCTCCATTCCGGGGTCGTTTGCTCAAAAGTCAACTCTCAGGTCAACTCTTTCTATTTAAGCTTCAAAATGAGAATTTTTCTTTAAATTAAATTCCGAATCTTCCGAAAACTAAACTCGACCATACACGCGAGTCATAATACATATTACGAAGCTGCTCGAGACGTTAAGTCCCTGAACGGGGCGTTAAATTCTTAAAACGACAAGTCAGATCGTTACACGCATGTTAGGTACACGGTTTGAACATAAGCATTAGTGATAATTTCTTATGTAACACAACAGGGAGAAAACAACAGTGAGAGCAGATTGAAAGCTCATATAACATTTGGTAAAAACAAAATAGACTGTATATTGAAGTGATTAGATGAAACTTTCACTATGCCTTGTGAGGCTGAAAGATACATAAAATTAAAGTTCCTACCCTTTAGCTCATAATCTAGGTTAGCTCATAACCAAATTAACTAGCAAAGAAAGACATGAAATTTACAGAGCAACTGGGAGGTTCATTGTGCAGCAACAGATTAAGGTATAATAACATACTACCTGACTCACTGTACAGACAAAAATGTTGATTTAACACAAGGATCAAAAGAAACCATTTCGGGGCAGCAAGGGAACACTAGAAGAAAATAGTATGTGTGTCGAGGATTAAGATTGCCAGTACCTTTTCTGCTGCAACCACAGCCATAAGGCGTCCAAGGATCTCTTGGTCAGATAATCTTGCAAATCGGACCAGGCACATATACTTTGAATCAAACACTCAATATTCCTATCATCTGATGCATTTAGCTCCAAAACGGTCTCTTTATAGTTTGGTACCAAAAGCTCATGAGCAAGAGCCAATATACTAGTGGTTTTGCCAGTACCAGGAGGAACCTGCAGAAAGTTTTATATAGAACTGAATATCTAACATGAAGAAACTATGCACAAAATTTTTAGCAAACTGCTTTTGCCAATTCAATGTGACACCAAAGGGACAAACATTTCAGAGTCTGGAAGTCCTAAATTAGATATGCATTTGAGTAAAAATGGTCAACTTCCAGGAAAACTAGCAATAACTACTTTGTTTTTATACATTCTCATCAATCAACACATTAAAACTCAATGTTACTCAAGGATACAACTCAGGAATCATAAAAAGATGGTATGTGAAACCAAAGACCATTCTTCCAAAAATAGAGTACGCACAAGAGGTAAAAGAATCAGTATCCAACATCAGGTATAAGCTAATACAAAAGATCATAGTTCTTTGCAAATATGTGTACATATAACTATGAAACTCCAAGTACCATTGAGCAAGCACCATCAAGATCTACACAAGAAAAGGAATAAGGAATGCTTCATATTCAGGACTTATTGACCTCAAGAGAATAAAACTGAGGTCGCAGTAGCAAAACTATAATCCAGCAAAAGTCAAACACATTGTATGGAGCTTTTAGGCCATGTATGAGCTTCAATGGCCACTTCTGGAACACTAAATTTCCCACTAACAATTTCTTATAGCATGACCTACCAAAAAAAAGCCTCATTTCCCAGTAGGCTCCCAAACAATAAACTCCTTTCAACAATTTTGCAACACTGTTGATATCTCAATCAGAACAACTTTGTTTGAGGCTTAAACTCCATTTGTAACCAGATTTACATTGTAGAATAGTGACTTGCAGTAAGAGCAAAGATCTCAGGATTCTGCTTCTTAGAGTTAGAGGGGTGTTCGCAGACCAAGTCATTCCAAATTTTAATCTTTTCCCAATTTACCACTTTTTATTTGTACTGTTTCTGAGAAATCAGGCCAATGATTCCTTATGCAGTTGCAGATCCTAGACCATACATGGAACTTACTGATTGTGCACCAGAATGCCAACTCCCTATACTTCACTTGTACCAGCTTTATCCAACGCTATTGTTCTTCTTTGAATATCTCCATAACCAATTCATTATTAGAATTTCACTATAGTTCAAGCTTGTGAACAATGGCAGAACCATAAATTTATACAACGGGATACAAAAAAATCTACAACGTCATAGTTGGAATTTGAACCTAAGGCCTAAAGCAATTTTGAACCTCCTTCACAACTACATTTTGATTTTTTTTTTTCATAACAGTGCACATATATCAAAAAGAAGACCGGTTTCACTCTTTTATATTGTGTTATTTTTCGATGAAGGGGGCTCGATCCCTTCACTCTACCTAGTATCCATGATAGCAAAAGTCAGAAATTGAAGTACTGAAAATGTGAGGAAAATGGGAAGGACTAAAGCAAGAAAATGGGGAAAAGCAGTTAACTTCTGAGGATATAGCAGTGATTGAAAATGTGAATGATACAACTGTTGAACATGAAAACAAGAAAACTGATCTAAGGGAAGATGAGAATGCCTTACTACAACAAGTTCTTGCAGAGGCTGTTGAACCATATGGTATTAAAAGTTGGTGTTAGGAATTATTCCATTCATGGTCAAAGGGAACTTCTACATGCATTTTGTCATTGGGATAAGGCTAGTTGGAGTACAATGGTTTTTGTTTGGCTTCTGAACTGAAATTCTTCAGCCAAGAGCTTATATTAACTCCATATTTTACAGTTCAATCACCATTACCTTATTTGTTCGACCATGCTTTGCATAATGCTTATTGTGATTGTGGCACACGAATCACACCTGATGAAACTGTTGTTCTTGGGGCTGCAGTATTAACTGGTGCAATTGTTAGATATGAGTGATATTGTTCTTTTGGATATGACACCATTATTTCCTAGCGAGGGAACTCTTGATGATTTTATTCCCTATACTCAAAAGAGCAACAAAGCAATATAAATTCCTAAAGAAATATAAACACAAGTCGAGATAGCAACAAAAACATTAAACATTAGCTGAAGTAAAATGATCACAAGTCTAGACAACCATTACAAATTTAAATTCCTAGAAAGCAAAAGTAGTCACAACGAAAACATTAAGCACTAACTAAAGCGATATAAACACAAGTCTAGACAACCACTAAAAATTAAATTCCTAGAAAGCAAAAGTAGTCCACAACGAAAACATTAAGCATTTGATTGGTGATTTGCGTTGTTATCCGCCAATGAGCCTCTTACATCAACTGGTGAAGTAGGTTCATTCTCTGCATCATCAGGCTGAAACAATAAAATGATATTCAGTGAGAAAGTTATATAGATTAATTCCAAACAAGATCAGGAAACAAGATTGTATCAAATGTAGCCCTTATCCTAACCAAATCAAAGCCTTTAACTTCTGCTAGGAGATGGGAATTCCTTGCCACCACCTCCATCTTTAGCAAAGTTAGCAACAAGTTTTACTAGAATTAGATGATATGAACTGTATATTGCACTAACTTTATTTTGTTATCAAATAGAAGTACAATGCAATTAAACTGACCAGAAGTTGTTGTAACAGAAGAAGATAGATTATATTACTTCTTACCTGTGGTTAAAGCGCAAACAGACCAGCAAATTCTTCAGGAACCACACCTTCCTTTGACATCACGTAGACCTTCAACGCATTTAAGGTGCCTTCTAGTTGGGATTCCACACGCATAAGCTTTTGTTGCAAATGGGTATATGTTGTAGATGATGTACCGTAGCTAGATGAAGAAACACTCGGATCACTAAGTCGTCCTTTCGTATTCGTGAATGTGTTCAAAGGAGATGCTCCCATACCCATACATCGTACTCTCCCAGAGTGCTCTGCCCCTAACATCTTGCCAATAACATCATTTGGGGAAACTTCACATTCATTAGTATCACATTGAGTCATATTCAATTCAATTTGTTCCTACAAGCAGATAAAATATCAATTAGTAAGTACAAGATAGCAAGACTTGAGTTGCAGAATGTTATACAAAACAATGAAAATGATGTTAGAAAAATGCATCAAAGCTAGACTTACCCCTATAGTCCTTGCCGCATCATTTACAAATGATCCATTAGCTTTCTTATGAGTTTCAATAAACATTTTTCCACGACTAGGAGTTTTTCCAGTTTCCAAAAACTAAAAAAGAAATGTATTAAAAAAGTTATCATAAAACATTTTAATTAGAGAAAAAGTAAACTTAATAAGGTAGTGTGCATACAAGCTCATATCGTCTTCTCGAGTTAGCTTTTGAACCACCAGTGTGTGGCATTTTTTGTTTCTTTCGAATTTCTTTATTTCTTCTACAAAGCTCCTATCAACAAAAACAAATACAAATTTAAAACATCATCTTCATTTAATTATGATGAAACTTGTTAAAATAATCTGAATCTTACCATTGTTGATGATTTTTTATGATAAGCAACAAAAATAGCACATTGATCTTTATTTGTACCTGCTGGCACATTACTTATAATTTCATTTTTGCTTTTGGCTAGGTCAAAATATTCATTCCACAACTTCTGCCTATGTGTAGCCCACTTCTTCGAAAGACTATCATTGCAGTATCTATATGCAATGGACTCACTTACCCGAAAATCAAATCGAGGCTTCAAACAAAAAATTGAAGTTAGTTTTTTCATGGTATAAAAATCTAGGTGCAATAAGTACATATGTATGTAATAACACTTGTACCTTCAATATTGTTTCAAAGCAGTCGTCCATATACTTCTTAGGCATGCCCGATGGCCCTGACCACTTCTCAAAACTAATCGGAAACAAATTACAATCAATTGCCAGCGATCCACAATATCCAGCAAGTAATCCTTGTGCTTCACCATATTCTGCATTGTAGTCATCAAAATTCACAATGACGCGCTCCCCAACAGTTAGGTTGTTAACTTCATTGACCTTGACCCTAATTTGCTTGGTAGCATTTTCCAAGTCTTTAACAAGAAAACAAGTTACTTAACCAAAAAGGAAGAAAAAATAAGATTCTCATAAATTGAAGTAAAAATATATGTAAGGCATATACCTTTTGCCTCTACTGTCCAATACTTTGTAGATTCACGTCCTGCATGGCGAGATGTTTCACTTGAATTAGAAGGCAGAATTGGAGCTTGTTCTTGTTGCGGGACTTCATGAGCATGTGGGAGGGCTTGTACTGTTGTTGAGGGCTCGATAGCATATGATTGGACTGGAGTTGCTGATGATAAAGAATGTCCATGAGCATCATGTGGTTCACGAGCTGACTTTAGTGGATTCCGAAAACACCTAATCTTCGGCATGGCTGCGTATTCATAAGAAAAAGAGAGAGGTGAATCAAATATGAAGAGGAACTAAACATCAGACAGAAGATGATACAAAAAATTGTCCCGAAACTACCCAACAAACCCAATCAAGAGCCTCAAAGGATCTGGTTTTTTTACTCCGAACAAAACAAAATAAATAAACTAAGTACAATATACTCTACAAACAGTCAAACTCAAATAATTAGCAAAGAGAATCACAGAGAATCAACAAACTACACAATGTCACGATTTTGGTAAAGCTAAGCAGTGAAATTAAAATGAACAAACTTAAAAAAATTAAAATATAAAAAGAAAACAGAGAACTGACCTAATGCTCACCAGGAATTTCATCTCTCTAAGAGGCACTATATGCTGAATATATAGCTCTGGAAATGGAAGTTTCTTACGCATAAATGGGAGATCAGGGGTCGAGGGGAAGGTGGGAATATGGAGGGAACAATGGCGGGAATAAAGAGAAGTTACCTGAGTAGTTGAGTTAAAAACGAGGGAAAAAACCGAGGGAAATGAAAAGGAAAATAGTGAAGTGGTTTCTTTACTTTTTCCTCGGTTTAGTTTTCATTACATTTACAAGAGAATTCAATTTGCTGTAATTTCACATTTTGAGCTACAGAACTGTTTTTCCCAGCAAGTATCGGTAAAGATACTTAATTAAGCCATATGTTGTGACTTTGACTTTAAATATAGCTAGTATATGAACTAAATCAGACTTCTAATTATAGCATAATACGATTTCTATTTGAAGTTATCTTTAATTGAATCATAGAATTATATTTGGACAAAATTTATTTGATCGAACTCCTAAATAGTAGGAAGGTTTTTTGAGTTTACAGTTTTATCCTGTCACGACCCAATCCCCGAACCCGGTCGTGATGGCGCCTCTCGCGGAGACAAGGCCAGCCAAACCAAAATGGAACACCTCTTTTAAATNATTCAATCTTTAATTTTAGAAGTACATGACAAGGATTATAACATTACAAAACTTCTATTGTAACCAATAGAGTTATAGATCTCTTTTGGTTTTGGCGATATCTCCATCTTGTCACGACCCAATCCCCAAACCCGGTCGTGATGGCGCCTCTCGCGGAGACAAGGCCAGCCAAACCAAAATGGAACACCTCTTTTAAATAGTTAATCATCATAAACAGTAGTAACATATAATATAATATTCATAAATTGTGGAATTTAATGATAATAACAGCAGGAACCATCCCGACACAGCCCAAACCGGGGGTCACAAGTCATGAGCTATTACAGAATCTGCTATAGGTCTACAAAGTACGGAATCCGATACAACAGTCTGAAGAAAACATAAATGATAGAGGATAAGAGATACGAGGGGTTGCGGACGTCAACAGCTACCTCGTAACTCCAAATCACTGCCTAGCCTGAAAGGAATCAGTGCTCAGGTGCGGACTCTGATATACCTGAATCTGCACATACGGTGCAGGGAGTAATGTGAGTACTCCGACTCAGTGAGTAATAATTACAAATAATGGCTGAAAGTATGAAAACACGTAAAGGCACAAAGCAATTCCATATCAAGCAGTAAAATCACTTAAAACAGTAAATCAATGAAGAAATCAAATGATATTCATTTTTAAACAAGTAAAACAGGTAATTTAACAGGTAATTAACAAGTAGAAATCTGTCCCTCGGGCACAGTGTCAATCGCTCAGCATAGTATCAGCCCCTCGGGCTCACTCTCAGTACAGTATCAGCCCCTCGGG